CTTTTTTTACGCAGCACACAGAAAAAAAAGATATAAGTTCGGCGAATATTTTGGAAAAATTGAAACTGGTTAATACTTATTGCCTATATAAAAAAATACAAGAATATACATAAAAATAAATTAAAAAAAGCCAATTGTGTATGTTGATATATGAATTTACAACTTAGGCAATAGGCTGAATATTAACTTATAACTTTAAATTTAATTAAATGGTAATGGTTTTATCATAATTTCAAATTATTCGTCAGATGAAAATCGGGATCTTTAAATTTGAGGGCAACGTTAATATGTGGTTATTTAGAGAACTTTTCTGTGGGTGCATGTGAGTGCGCTTTCTTTCTTGTTTTTTTTTGTTGGTCAGCGTCAAGGCAACTTCCAAAATGCATTTCACTGCGGCTTTCATTTTCGTGCTTGTTGGACACGCCCACAACGCCACACTGGTCCTGCCGCCCCCGAAAACCGAATTCCTGCTAACGCCTTTTTCTGCCACAGCATCGCGCTGGTTATAAATTTAAGCCCTGCGTGGTTTTAATTTTTTCGGGGGTTTTTGCTCTTGTTCCCGTTCCCGTTTTCTGTTTGTTCTTACAGCACCCCCAATGGAATCTTGAGCTGCAGCATTGTTCAATTCCCACATGTCCTCGTTGTGTCGCTCCTGGGTCAAACGTGTGCACTCGGTTCAGTTGGGGTTTAAACGGTTAAGTGCTGGCTAAATTGTTTCATTCTTTCCTTGCTTACCTTTGGCCCAACCGGTTTTTGTTTCCCCACCTTTAGCCCCTTTCATTCCCGTTCCCTTTTGTATCTTTTGTTCAAAGCCATCCGTCCGACGTGCGTGTCTAAGGTTAAATTGCACATGTTGTCATGCGTTTTTCCTGCTGCCTGTGATGGTTTTGTACTTTTGAGTTTAACCTCAAGGTGTTAAGCTGACGTCGAGCTGCCATTTTTGCAGCTTTTTCTCAGCTGCCGACTCTATTGATTTTGAAACACGCAAGACTGTGTGCGTAATTTGAAAGTGATGTAGCTCCAGTGGCCAAGACGGGACAAAATAAATTAAAAGAATGCGGTGAATTTTAAATAGTTGATGGAAAAATTGTAAAGAAACGACATACAATTATAATTAGTTTCTACAAAACAATTGTGAACTCTTAGGCGTGTGACCAGAAACTCCAAGATATAACTATTTTTCATTTCCAAAATTTTTATTTAGTTTTATAAAAATCGGATGAACAGGAAAATCTAAAACCATATGTTGTATGCGATTTCAAAAAGTTTGCTTCATTTCCTTTACTGTTTACAATACTAAAAGGAATACAAAAATATTTTGAAGACTGAAAATAAAAGATATATTCAAGATTACGTCTTTGATTGATTTTAAAATTTAATTTTTTTTTAAGTTCTTAATATCAGTTAATTTTTCTGAAATGCTGATAATAAAATACAAGTCTTTCAAAAACAAAATGCCAATTAAAACGAAATTTGTTATATTTGTGGTACGTGTTAAGTATCCCTGCATTATCCTGATAGTCAGGATTGGTATATTTTTATAATTCATTGACAGATCCAAGCAGATTTTACTTTCTAACCCTTTGTTTGGCTCGATTGCATTTTAAATTTTCGATAAAGAAACAGGTTGGAATTCCTACAGTCAATTTAGCTGGCGAAACACAAATGCACCGTTGCAGAAATCAATGGGTGGGCGGAAAATAAAAACGCATAACGCATAGTTGACAATAGATCGCCACCCTAGCCCGCGGGCTCATTGAACAATACAGGGCATCAAAGCTCCAAGAACAACGCTATATTGCGCAATATACATATATAGGAAGGCGAAAGCGAACTGGATGTTGGTGATGCAGCCAAGGGCAGTGCAAACTCAGCTCATAACCGAACAATTGTGGATTTTAGCTCAGCGGAATAATACTCGCACGCACCGAAATGGAGCCTTTGCGTCCGCTGCTAGTTTTCCACTGCAATTCCAATCGTAGCTACGGAACTTCTTCAGCCGATGGTTGCTGAGATAATACGCGCACTGCTGGGGGATTGTGCCGGTGGCTAGCAGTTTTTCAAAACTATATTCATTTTTCATTTCTCGCATAGACTGCCTATTTCAAGCGTGTGGTTAAACTGAAATGGAGGGGCAGATTAAGTCTACACCTTTCAGTGCAGTATTTTTCAGGTTCACTGCAGACTTCGTTATATTGAGCAGGACTTAAAAATGACTCGCGAATGCGTAGCAACACCAAGGGATTTTATGTTCGCTTTGAACCCGTCAATAATTTTAATTAGATATTTCATTTTCCAGACCAGACCCTTCAAACGTTTTGACAAATTAATTTCCGTTTTTTCTTAATTATCTATCGGTTGGTTGGGTTTGATTACTCTACATGAATCGGAAAGCGATCAATTTTGCGTCGAGCAGGCAGGGTTTGGTTGATTGACTCCAAGAGTAAGAAATAGGAAACGGGAAATTGTTCGTTAAGGACATTTATATTGGGAGATAAGCTGATATTTCCGTATGTGTTTAGTACTGACGAATTTCGGGAACTACATTTTAAAGAATAGCCTTTAGATGTTGAGAAATCTAATCAGCCTAATTGGTTAAAAGAAAAAATCAAAGTAAACTATGAGTAAAAATTATGCCTTTTGTATAAATCTGTTTTTTTAACAATAAACATAAACAATAATGTTTTGAATATTTTTTGATGACTTGCAAATAAATGTAGAGTTACTAAATTACACCAACATTAACTATGGATTATGTCTCATATCGACAGTTTAACTATAACAAAATTCGACTCAAGCTTGGAGGGCACCAATATTCGAAAATAGAAACATTTCAAGCATTGTGACCAAAAATGTTTTTGCGTCAAGGTAGTGAACATCATAACCGTTGCCATTATCACACTGTTCAACAAGCAAACGTTACGTAACAAGTAAATCTGTGAAATTAAAACGAAATGTCAACCAAATTGCGTACAGCCAGACGGCCAGAAAGAGGCTCGTTTACGTTTGTTTTCCAATGTTTGTTTTTTGGCTTGCCACAGCAGCCACCGCGACCCTCTTCCTTTCTAGAGGATAATATCCGTCATACTTCCACTTGTACATATATTCAACACAGTCAACTCCACATAAATTATACATATATACGAAACATATCCTGTTAATGTTACCGAGTAACGTAATATGTCTGGGATTTATCCGTAAGGCGCGTGTGGTATTGACACCGAAAACGCAAAAAAATTGTGGCTCTAAGGTAATATAAAGGGTGGATTTTATATATGTTAATTTGATTAATGCAACTCTGTAACTTTTTTTATTTTATACACAACAATGAGCAATGAACAGCCATTGTGCATCATATGTCATCATACTTTTGTCAGTTTACTTTTATTAAGAGTGACAGCCGAAGCACGCAAGACCAAATAACATGATATCGCGTTCATTCCCTCTACGTCTTTCCTCTATGCTTCATGTTGGAATGGAATGTTGCAAAATCTACTGCGACAATTTCGAGCTCATTAAAAATTTTCAACTGAAATATTCCGCCGGAAGCCGAGTTGCTGTGTGTGTTCACCCTCAACGGAGCACGTCTGGCGTTTGTGCTTATTTGTTGGGATACACAGTGCGTCTGGTAAGTTGAGCACCATTTGGTTAAAAATGACGTTTGCCTAACGACCCAAAACCATTTGATGCCAGTTGAAAAGTTAGGCCTTTCTTCATTTCGGATTAATTACCAGGAATAAATACTTTTGACAGCTACTGTTACGAACCACGTGGCATGTCATACTTCGTATTTTAGTTTCCACATTTGTTGAAACTAAGCTACAGAATTACACTCGGATATATTTAATTAGATGACATACCCTTATTAGGATTTATTTAGAGCTCGGAACTTCCACTCCCACCAAACTAGCCAGTGCTGCAATGTGATTTGTATTCGAGACACATCCGTGCAGGTGAAAATCAACCTGTCGCATTTAAATGTGGTGGGGCAAGTTGTTGATATATATGATATGATCCGTCTGTATGAACGACTAGATCTAGGAAACTATAAGAGCTGGAGATTTAAGATCAACACTTATGCAGCGCCATTTCTTTCATTCCAACTGTAAACCATAAGGAACAGTTGGTCAATATCTATCGTCAAATAAAAAACTTTCCAAATCAAACCATTTTTCTAGACGACAGTAGTTTCTTTGTTAATTATGGCGTCACTCATTATTAGAAAAACCGAGTTCTTATGTATAGCGAAAGAGCGAAAGAGAGGGAAATTACTGTTAGTGCGGGCGGGAGTGCTGTTCGCTCTTTGCCTGTACTGTTGACACTGCGACTCGGCAGATGGCACCACCTAAAGCCAGATTGTATATTTAAGGCGTTCCTTTATGTTTTTTACTAGAATCATTACACTTGTAAATATTGCTTATTGTTGTTGCTTATGTTGATCCTTTCTGCGTATAATCATTTTAATAAGATGTCCATCCATAAATCTTGATTTTTTTTGCTTCAATTATTGTTTACTAAGAATGTGTCATCGACAAAGACTTGCCTGCTATAATGCCCAGACTTACATCCGGCTTACTCGTGTGACTGTACTTTTTGTCGTCACATCATTACCACTTTTATTGCCGTCCGTGTGTTTCCTGTATCGACGGATGCAACGATGTATCAATGACACACAAGAGCCCAGTACACAAAAAAAAAATGTATTTAGTTGATTCAAAAACTGCACTGTGGTAACAAATAAATAAACGACAAAAATTGATCTTTTTATGAGGCATCGACTGTATTTAGTGGTAGTTTCGTTTACTGTGCGGTCTTTTACCCACTTCACAAACTTCTACACCAGCTAGAAGACTAGAACATACTTGCAAAAGGTTTGAAGTGAGCTTAGCATTAAATTAACTAACTGTTAAATTTTACTTGTTATAGCGGTAATTTTACAGAATTTGTGTCAAGAATTAAGTGTATGTTCTTGTTCATTGGCTAAAATTCAATTTTTCAACTAATTTAAGCACTTAACATTTACTGTTAATTACATTACATTTTTGTAAATTCAGTTAACAATGATCGTCTCCGCGTTTTAAATGCGGAATTGATTGGTTTTACCATAAATATTTGTAAGTGTACACGTATCCCCTATCCGATTTCGGGTTTCATGGCCGCTCAACAGTTCTGCCCGCTTACTTTTCTACAAAAATATTTCAGAGAACTATTGCATTCCCGGGTTGTGTTCACTTTTTGTCACATAAAACTCACAATCGGTCGCCATCTTAGTTGGTTGGCTTTTTGTCTGCGCTTCATTTCACTCCTTTGTTAACATGATTCGATTTTTATTGCAGCTGCTGAAGGATTTGCTCCATTTACCTCGAAGGACTTCGCACCCACTGCCTCCAGACACCGGAAGGTGCTGTCGTCTTCATTTGGCTGGGAATTTAATTCATTTTATGCATTATTTAAATTGCAGCACCAGCAAAAGACCCACAAAGCTTACAACTCAATCCATTTGTTCCTGTCAGCCAGCAACCTCTAAGCTGATTGGTTTCGGCCGAATTTGTTCTTAATAAAGTTTTGACAATTTAATGTGAAAATTTTGTTATGGAATGCCATAATTTCTTAGCTGATTCGTAGAGAAATTTTGAAGCTGTCAAGAAAATTAGACAGGTTTTTATTTGCCAAAAATCGGCTTTGCACGCAGTTTTATAAAAATAAAACAATACATGCATTTTAAATGATTACATAACGACCTTCAAATTAAAAGGATCGAATTAAACTATATTTATAAATAACTTAAAAAACACTGAATTCGATTTATAAGTATTTTTGAGAAGTGCAATAGGTCGAGGAAATCTACACAGAAAGAAAATTTGTTGGTAAAACTAGTTAATACAACAGTTAAAAAGCGATAGTTGCTTGTTCACTTTCCTGAAAGGTATATCTTATAAAGTGTTTATGCATACATTAAATGCATTACACATTTTTACAAATTTTTCAAATAATTATTCTTATTTTACTTCTTATATCAGCTCTGGTAAACCTTTAATCGATTTTATATAAATTTGTCAAACTGAAATACACGGGTATTGTATGACTATAAAGACTCCGTCTCCCTTAGTAAACATATGCAAACAGAACTTCACAAAAGCCTTACTGTCGTTAAGAGCGAAAAATTAACGCTTTCCAAAGCTTTAAAAATCCTTATAAAACGCAAATTTTTTTTCTATAACATACTTTTCACCGAATACACAATAAACTTTTGCTCTTCGAGTAACGGGTATAAAAAAGGCATGAAAACAGGGGAAAAACGTAATCTACGAGGGTGGTCCGATAAGTACTTAGCCTCCAAAAGTAAAACGAAAATTTTGGAAAAGTGGCGATTTATTTCTCAACATAATCTCCTTTTTGTTCAATACACTTGACCCAGAGAGGCTCCAACTTCTTTAACACGTCTGAAAAATACGTTTTCTCGAGGTCTGCAAAATAGGCCTTTGTGGCGGCGATGACCTCCTCATTCGACGCCAATTTCTGTCCAGCGAGTGACTTCTTCAAGTTTTGAAACAAAAAGAAGTCACACGGGGGCAAATCTGAAGAATATGGTGTATGGGGTAGCAGTTCGTAGCCCAATTCGACCAATTTGTCCTTGGCGAGGGCGGAAGTTTGAGCCGGTGCGTTGTCGATTCCACACACAGTCAAAACAAAACTACGATTCCGATTCGGCTGAAATTTCGACAGTAGCCGTCTACGAGAATGTACACGATAGTAAATTTCTCTTGCGTTTATAGGACTGCCCTCGTACACTTAAAAAAGCATATAATACAAGCAAGAGTTCTACTGCACTGAAAAACCAATTTTTCATCGCTGGAGTAAATTGTCAATTTAAATGTTTATACCATTGCTACAGTCATTCCAGACGGGACTATTAATTTCATGTGCTTTTATATATCAGTACTCCCCAACGTCCAACAATGGTAACATTTCGGTGAATCACGTCCTTATCAGTGTTTTAATTCGCATATAGCTAAGGCTCGGCTACTTTGTACACACCCTCGTATTTGTATATTTATTTATGGAAGGCTTGCTACTTATTGCTCTTATTTTACCATTTAAACAGTTTTGAGCTAGATATTTTTTTATAACCTTAGATGCTATTTGATTTTTACCATTGGAGCTTTAAAGTGAAAGGAGTTATCAATAACAGAGTAGGGGATATTTTTGTAGTCGGGGCCCAAATACTTTTAAAAACAATAATGAAAGTTTTGGGACCCATTAAATTCTTTTAACAGATTGAAACGTTTGCGCCTGACGGGCCAAGCCCTGTTTCAAACTAACATTCGTCGAGTCCACATCAAAAAATGGGAGCGTTCAGGATTACATTGATTGTCATTTTAATATATCAAAGTATTGCTGTATGCAAATCTAAGGGGAGAAAACATTTGCAAACAATTCCACACGATTATTGTCAAACATATTGCCAGGGCGTCTGCAACGATACAGTCAATCAAAAAACTTGTGACAACGAGGATCTTAATTTTGTCCTTACCAATAAGTATACACTGATTCTAAAAGACGGGTATTTAGAAATTAAATGGACCATATCCAACCCAAAAATCTGTAATCTTACACCAATCAACAGAGAAAGCAATGTGAAGTTAAAAGCGTTAATAGTATCAGAATCGTTTAGTGAAATACGAGGAGCGCACTATCTTCGACAACTTGGTGTGGAAACAGTTTCTCGTTTCGAAAAACAACTAAACTCATTTGAAGCAATAGAAAAAAATGTTCATTATAATGATGGACCCAAATCTCTAATTTTGAATTTAAAAAATTCGCTATCCTTCTCTGAAATAAACGATTACATAAGTAAGTCAATAAATAATATAAATGAGATTAAAATTATAAAAAAAAACGGATCTGGGAATCAAACTTTTATGATCGACGAAAATATTTTTAAAGGAAAGCGTCATATAACATCACTTACATTTTCTGGACTTAATATTGAAAACTTGACCACTAAAACATTTTCCCATTTGATTTATTTACAAAAACTGGTGCTCTCCGAGTGTACAATACAGAATTTGTCATTTTTAAAGTGAGTTCAATTTGATTTTTTTCCATTTAATTTCTAATTATTACCAAAACAAAAGCCTTTCTTTTTTCTTAACAAAAAGTAAAAGTTTCTTAAAACCGAAATACGTTTTTTCCGTCTTACGAATTAAATATTAATATACCTTTTATTATATTCCATATTGGAAATATTTTTTTTAGCGCTCTCCAAAAAAGTTTTGAGCACTTGGTACTGGATATTAACATCGAGGTGGATATGAAATATTTGAAGAAGTTTTTTATGCTTAAATTGATAAAAGTCAGATATTATATTCCTTTCGAAAACTTGACTGCTTTGATATGCAATCAAAGTTGGTGTAATTTTAGTCGTGGAACCAATGGCATAGAGTGTCCTGAAATGTGTGATTGTCGATTTATTTACGACGATTTGGAACTGAATATCAACTGCAGCAACAGAGGTCTCTCTCGCATTTCGCCTCTACCTATTCCCATCACCGGAGGTGTAAAACTAATATTCCGCGACAACAGCTTATCACAGTTGCCAGACAACACTTTAGCTGGATATAAAAATTTAAAAAAACTTGACGTTTCCGGAAATTTCTTAACCCGCTTGAGTATTAATTGTCTGCCCAAAAAGTTAGACTATCTTGATATTAGTTTTAACAAAGTGGTTGAAATGAACAGAGATATAGTCGAATACATAGAAAACGTAGTCATCTTCAAACAGACAGGCAATAAATGGATTGTATATTGTGATGATGAGCCTTTGCTACATTTATTTAAAAAGCTAAAAATGATAATACGAATGAAAGAAGTGCAAGTTCGACCTTTGTTTATAAAGTTGTTACCCCATTTAAATAGAGCGTTTTTGAAGTTTTTAGGCCAACACTTTCTGAGCCTTGGCGTAAAAAAACAAGAATACTTTCTGATTTATGAAGATCAAGTAATACAGAGTATGCTTCAAAAACTTAGCGACCTACATAAGATCATGAGTATCTTTAAGAATATGGAATGGTTGCATAATATATTAGCATTCGTTAACAACGAATATGAGCTATTTTATTATCATAAACTGGCAGGACCTTGTCCCTATAAATGTGAATGTTGTCATAGACGTACTACCCAAAATTTAAAAATAGATTGCAGTAATAATTTTGTTAACAACTTTCCAGATGTTGTCCATCACAATCTTTCCCTGACACAAAAGGAGAACATGACCAACCAACTTGAGCTGCATTTATCAAACAATAATATATCCAAAATAACTATTGACATGCTCCCGGAGAACCTTAGGTATCTGGATCTAAGAAACAATAGTTTGGAGACCCTCGATGAGGAGGTGATTCGTCACCTAAAAGGGTTCAAAGACTTTACTGAAGTTCAACTATCCGGGAATCCCTGGAATTGTGACTGTAAGTCCAGATCGATCCTTTCATTTCTAAGGGACTACGAATCGTTAGAATATAACCTCACCTTGAACCGTTGCAATATATCTCGAGCGGATTGTCCCGATACTTGTGTTTGCTGCTTGGATAACTCAACATGGTCATCCGTCATAATCGATTGCAAGGGAGAAGGACTTCAAAGGATTCCCGAGTTGTCAATGAAGGTTTCCTATGTGGATTTAAGGAACAACAATATAACAGCACTGACACAAAAGGACCTCCATTTTTTTGAGTACAGATCACATCTTTCTCCGTTCAAGTTGGTGTTGCTTAACAATCCGTGGTCCTGCTCCTGCAAGGACATAAAAAATCTCAATTTCATGAAAAACATTTCGTCGATTATTGTAGATTTCACTGAGATAAACTGCGCCAATGGAGTAAAGGTCGTCTCGATAGATCAAGACATTATTTGTCCTTCTGGCCTCGTGTTTTATTTAGCCCTAGCAATCACCCTTGCAGCTGTGGTCGTTGCCATTAACCTTTTGATATGCTTCAGACAGCCGCTCCTGGTCTGGTTCTACGAGCACGAAGTCTGTATGAGTCTGGCCGCTAGAAGGGAACTCGACCAGGCAAAACAATTCGACGCTTTCCTGGCCTTCAACCACAAGGACGAGCCGCTGGTGCAGGAGTTCGTGGAGAGGCTGGAGCTCGGAAAACCCAGGTTTCGACTTTGTTTCTACCTGCGAGACTGGCTGGCGGGCGAATCCATCCCAGATTGTATTGGCAGGTCTGTCAGAGACTCGCGGCGCATTATAATCCTGATGACGGACAACTTCATGAAGTCCACCTGGGGCCGCCTCGAGTTCCGCCTCGCCCTGCACGCCACATCGAAGGATCGGTGCAAGCGCCTGATCGTCGTCCTTTATCCGGATGTGAAAAACTTCGACAGCCTGGACAGCGAGTTGAGGGCCTACATGGTGTTTAACACCTATCTGGAGAGGAGCCATCCGAACTTTTGGAACATGCTGATCTACTCGATGCCCCATGCAAAGCTCCGTTTTGAATCAACGACCACAAACGCTTGAGGCTGTTTCGAAATGAGTATAAATACTACAATTTTGGTTATATTTCTTAGCAATTAGTTCACTCCTTTATATTTTTTGTTCTCCAGAACATATACATTTCGTTAATTTTTATCATGTCATATCTCTTCGACCAAATAAAATAATATTTATAATATTATAATAATAATTAAGGGGACATTTGAAACGAAATAGGTATAGTCCTCATAAAAAAGAATAACCCTAAAAACAAGAAAAGAGGCAAACTTCGCAAGCCCTAGTTTATATACACAGCTGCTGTTACAGAAATTAAATATTTTATATTTCTTTCGAAAAATTTATCGAAAAACCAACCTAGCTTATTGTTGTTGTTGAAATACACAAAATTTCAGTATATATCGATAAGAACTCATTGTACTCATCCTTAATCGCAAGTTATCTTTAAGTCTCTTTGCAACCACCGCTTGTGTAGCGCGTATTACAAAATAAAGTATATACTGTAGCACTTGCTTGGAAAAATATACTTTTCTAGCGCCATCTGTTGGTCGTTGTGCTGCGTTGCCACTAGAGTTAAGGTAAGAATAGGAGATATCGATAGGATAGCCGCGAGAGAGCAACAGTGGCAAGTGTCAACTGTCTCCGCTTTCGCCCTGAATTCGCCCTGGGGTTACCGACACTTTTCCGGCGACGTGTTCGTTCTTTCCGTTTTGGCAGCAGCAGAGTGAAGTCATAAGTTAGCAGTGATCAATCAAAGCTCGAAAAGTACACGCGAGTGATCTCACTTTAGTGCCAAAGGGAAGGAGAAAAGCGATTTGGCTTTGAACCGCATTAAAAGGGTGAGAAGAAAAAAGTGAGTTCATAGGCAGATTTGTGATTCTTTTTGGGGGTTTTATAGGCAACCGTTGGATGATGTTTGAAGGCCACAAAGAAGAATAAAGGCGAATTCGATCGAGACGAACGGGCGCCTGCGCAGTCCACATAACCAGCGAGCAACCTCCACGCCAGCGTTTCAACTCAGAGAAGCAGCGCACAAGGATGGGCGCAACTAAGAGTCCATTTATATTTCTAACCGGTGCGTCAGCCCCAAATTTATATAGCTAAAAAAGTAGGCTAGGCGCCGACCGACCATCGAGCCGGGTAATCGAGGCGAAAAAAACTCAGGTCCGATCGAACCGAAATTACCAGTTTCCCTTTCTCGGAGTGTGCATACGACGTCGCGGCTACGTTCTGCGTTTTTGAAGGTAATTTTCCGGGAGTTAAAAAGACAGTATTCAAGCCAAGAAAATCCTCGCCGTTTCGGCCAAATCCCGGTCTGGGAGTCAACCGGAGTACCCGCCACGGAGAAGCGGGAAGTTTAGGGCTAAAATTCGGTTTTAGTTATGCAATAAGTGTTCGTTTGTCAAAAGGAGGGAAGAAGCAAGGTTCATTTTATTTTGTTCGGTGAAAGTGTGTGGTTTGGGGATTAGTTCCTAGTTATATCCCAGATAGTGCAGTGCTTAAGGCATCAGAAGATGCTCACGGGCTGTACATAACAGCTTTTCTTATTTCTCCTGGTTTTAAAAATATATGTCTCTGTGTGTGTGTTTTCCTTAATTAACCTTTTTTAGCCATCGTCAACGAGGAAAGCACTTTCGTCGGTGAATGGACATAAGTGTGGTGAGTTTTTAAAAAGACAAGTCGAAAAATCAAAATCTAGACTTTTAACCTAAAAGAAAAAAATAAAGTAAATTAGATTGAATTCAGATTCCGAATTCCGAAGTATCAGCAAGACCATCACACCCATAGCCGAAGAGCCAGAGCCGGATATATTTTTCGCGTGCGCTGGTATCTCGAGGCAACGTCTAGCCTGGTTTATATCAATGAGTGTAGCGGTTCGTTACAATACTGCGCGTAAGGTAAAAGTAGTAAAAATAAAATGGATCATTTGTGAAACACCAAATTTATTGAGAAAACCGGAACTTGCACATTTATTTCACAATAATTCGGAACGACAAAGAATAGATAGAGGCAACGACGGAAAAAGACACCACAAATAAAAAATGAGTTTCGTGAACATTAAAATATATCCCATCGGAGTTTAACATATAGATTTAATTAACGTCGATCAACCAACTAAATGGCTATAAAACGTTGGGAATAATAAAGAACAAATAACATGAAAACATAACAGAAGTGATTAACAAATTTTATAACAAATTAACAGTAAATGGTTAATGCTTAAGGACTTGAGTCATCCTCTTGTCCAGAGATCGGCGGGGTGTCTTCGCTTCAGTCGTCTTCTACACGTCGGGTTGGCCAGGGAAGCTGCTAGGTGGTTGGTGTGGACAGCGAGTCGATCGTTGTACCGACTCGAGTGGCGGTTTATCTGTTCCCTGACAGAAGGAATGTGGAGATCATTTGCAAGGGCGTCGTTTCTGATGTACCAGGGCGCACTTGCAATTTTGCGCAGCGCCCGGTTTTGGACTCTTTGAACTTTAGCCACATTAGAGTATGAAGCCATGCCCCATAATTGGATGCAGTAGGTCATTGAGGACACCACAATTGATTTATAGAGCAACACTTTGTTGTCAAGGCTGAGCTTGCTCGTAGGCTTAAGCATCCAATTCAGCTTCCTGAGTTTAGTGCGACAGGTGGCTGCAATTTGTTGTATGTGCCCTTTCCAGGTGAGCCGCTTGTCCAGGATCAGACCCAAGTACTGCGCCTGGGGTGATTGCGGGATGGTGATATGGTGGAGTTCAACTCTAGGAAGCACCTTTCCTCTAAGAGTAAAATTGCATCGGAAGCGAAAATTATGATACGTGAAAAATTCAAATCCAAGCTCTTTTAATTAAGAACAAATACTTGGGTGGTCATAAATGAGACATAAATGATGCTAAAGCGGAAACGGATTTAATTCTATCCATTTCCACATCTGAGTTGAGGCAGGTAAAATACTGCGAAACATCGAAACAGTTATGGGAAAAACTAGAAAGCATATACCAGTCAAAAGGTCCAGTGCGTTAGGCACATTTGCTGAAATCGCTTATATTGCTAAAAATGCAAAACGGAGACGATATGCACAGTCACTTGCATAAGTTCTTTGACAATGTTGACAAAATTCGTAAAATAAACAAGCAAGTAATGGATGATCTCGTGACTATCCTGTTGCTTTGCAGTGTTCCTGAGGAATACGAACAGTTTAGAGTCGCAATTGAAACACAGGACAAATTACCAGAGCCAGAAGTGCTAAAAACCAAAATAATGAAAGAATACGAAGCGCGTAAAAGGAACAACGTTGAACCGGTAAACGACGCCATGTTTACGCGGAAAAATTATAAATCAGTGCCCAGACCGGAAACTCCCGCAGCTCACAACCCCAAAGAGAGGACGAGGTCGACCCAGGAAGCGGCAAATAACCATGGACAAGAGTGCTCCAGAAGATGTCCTAGAGGAAAACAGCGCATTTCTCAGTGAGCAAAGCGATCCAAACGATGCAACAAAGCACTATGGGGAATTTGCTCGATTTTTTGGAATAAACGTATTTTTTAAAAGTATGCCGATTTTCTATTTTTTTTGTATGTATTAAGAAAATACCAAGCTGTTTGGTAACATACCGCAAATGTTAACTTAAAAGTCTAGTATTTAAATACCAACTGTTAAAGTCAGCTGTTGCAAGCGCACATGGTTTGTTTACATTTTGCTTAACTTTGAAGCTCACTTTCAAATCATTATCTCTGCAACAAAATGACGTAAGACAGTCAAATTTGAAATGATTACCAATTCTCAAGGTATGTTCTGTGTAAAAATACTTATATATTGCATAATATGTGCGTCCAATTTTAACAATTTGTAAATATAGCAGGTGATGTTTTCGTTTGAGTTTTGGAAAGAAAGTTAAACTTTCAATAGAGTTTTAAAAAAATGTTTAACTTTGTTCAGTGAGTGTCTATATCCATGATGTAGAGCCATTAATTGCGAATTCAGAACATATTGTCTCATCGTGCGCTTCGTGCGACTTTTCGCGTAATTTCATTTTTGAGAAACCAATCTCTTGATCAAAAACGCAGACCTGCTGGAAGTTTTGCATAAGCAAAAGGGTCTTCGAGAAAAAGAAGATGGCGAATTCACTTTTGTTAGCAAGCAAGTTGATCCCACAGTCGAATCTCCAACTTTACAGATGTTTTTCAGAGAGCTATGGTTACTTCAGACCCCATCATTTCATCAATGAATTTGAAGAAGCGCGTCCGAAAACATAAGCTGCTTGCTCTTCCACCAGAAGTCATTCAATTGTTATTATGCGAATATGAACCTGGAGACGAGTCTCTAGATGTTGCTAATTATGAAGAAGAAAACGTCTATGATTTTTTGTACAACATTGAAATTGAAAATTAAGAGCATATAGAGCTAAATTTGTTATAAAAAATATAAAAAATTGGGTGGGGGGTGTGGGGTGTATACTTTCACTTTTCCAACAGGTGTGTATAGGTATGTAGAACACTATAAAAAAAACCTCACTGAAATATGTTACATAGTTCGCGAGTTATTAATTTATTCCGAAAAATCGGGCAAATTCCATAGTGCAGAGGCGCTCTCTTACCCGGATAGTGAGGAATGGAAGGCAGCCATGCTTCAAGAATACTATGCTTTGGACAATAACGAGACGTGGACTCTGGTAGATCGACCTAAAAACGCGGAAATCATCAAGACGAAGAGGGTTCTGCGAACAAAACGATACGCTAATGGTCAAATCGAAAGGCGAAAGGCAAGACTTGTCGCCAAGGGATTTGCGCAGACACCCGGTGTATGCTACGGCGAAACTTTCGCAAGGCGCTGTATGGTCTCAAACAGTCTGAAAGGCAATGGTATCGAAAGCCTGACGAAAAGCTACAGAGCTTGGGACTACAGCCGCTAAGTTCTGATCCTTGTGTGTACGTCATAAATAAAAACGACGTGCTCGTTATCGTATTAATTTACGTAGATGACTTAATGGTGGCATCAAATGACGAGAGGGCACTTACAGCATTAAAATCAGAATTTGCAGGCATGTTCGATATGAAGGATAAGGGACTGCTGAAGTATTGCCTTGGGAAGCACGGAATCAAAATGCATCATTAAACGGTTTGGCATGGAAAACTCCAATGCAGTGTCAACGCCATTGGCCGCAAATGAGAAATTATCAAAAGATATGACGTCGAGTGATCAAGAAGGATCTCCTGAAATCAAGGACCTCCGTATCAATGTCTTATAGGCTCATTGATGTATCTGGCAGTATGCACTAGGCCAGACATTTCTCATGCAGTAAGTTTACTAAGCCAATTTAACAGTAACTTTACTCAACAGCATTGGACAGCAGCAAAGAGGGTCCTCCGATATTCAGGAAGACAGGCAAAAATCTTTTCGGCTATGCGGATGCCGATTGAATTCACAGGCTTTGCATTTATGTTTGCAAACGCAGCAGTAAGAGTCCAGTAAGAGTCCAGAAAACAGAGCACAGTGGCACTCTCAACGACCGAAGCCGAGTACATGGCCATATCCGACGCTTCTAAGGAAGCAGTTAGTCTAAAGTTGTTCCTGAAGGAAACTTTAGGTACGCAGGACGTTATCGTGATATTTAACGACAATCAAGGCGCAGGGCACCTGACCCGAAATCCAGTATTCCACAACCGTATAAAGCATGTGGATATTCGTCACTACTTCACAAGAGAGCTACTGGAAAACAATAAAGTCATCGTAAAATACATCCCGACTGAGAAGATGCGTGACGATCTAGTGACAAAAGGTTTATCTACCTCAAAACATAACGGATGTAAAATTAGTTTGGCTATGACTACAATGTAAAACAACATAAATTTGAGGGGAAGTGTTGAAATACACAAAATTTCAGTATATATCGATAAGAACTCATTGTACTCATCCTTAATCGCAAGTTATCTTTAAGTCTCTTTGCAACCAGCGCTCGTGTAGAATAAAGTATATACATTATAATTCTACTACTCGATTACTCGTCTGATTAACAATAGTTTTTAAGCATCGAAATCATAAAGTATAATTTTTGTAAGAGCTTAAACTTAAAAAAAGGAGCCAAAATAAATCAATGCAATCGACACAATAAACCACAACAAGAAATAAAGAAAAGCTTGATATAAACCAATTTTAGAGGCTGACAACTTACCACTGAACCCTATAAAAATTATATATATTTACAAATTAATATTACAATATTTTAAATAAAATATGGATACTTATTACGCCATTTTGAAAGAGTTAAGTTGAGAAAAATCAATAAAATACATTATTATTTATTTGGTAAAAATTTAGTTTAATTTAAGACAGATAGGCCGCATTTCAAATTACATATTTATGCTAATATTTTCATATTGAATATTGCACATTACAAAATGTTGTATTTAATATTAACTTGTATTAACAAAGTACAACACGAAAGGATTAAGGTCAGCAGAAACATTCTCTTTGCATTTTTGCTGAAAAAATTTATTTATGTTTCGAGTTTTTAAATATGTCGAAAGAAAACTCTGTTTATGAATTTGTGTTTATTAAAATACCGATTGCCTTATAAGTATTGCCAACCTTATAGCCAATTTCATACTAATCTAATCACAGCAATCTATATAAAATATGTCTTATGTCACTTATATATTCGAGTCTACGAGTACTGAATAGGGTAAAGGTCTTGGAATATTAACGCAATTGGGTCATTTTATAAATTGTTTCTCCACAAGCGAAAAGGGCAGAACTCAAAGTTTATGTAAGAATATCCAATCGACTTCAGAAAAAGCAATCAACATGAAGCGAGAAAGAAGTCGCGATCTGAGAAATCTGATTAAAAGTATCAACAACATTAGCCTAAAGGGAACGAAACGCAGTCGAGAGCCAGACGGTATTGGACTCACCGATGTGGATCAATGTACCAAGCGTTTAAAGAGCATGTCGCTTCAAGATACGGTGAAACCACTGAAGAGTCCTTGCAATTCCTTTGAAATTGATGCCGGCTATGAGGGCGACTGTGAAAATGAATAAAGTTAAATCCAGGAATTTGAACTAATTTCCATATCCAAAACGCTCTATTAAACTATTAAACCATCGTAAAGTCTTTTGAATTTTTAATTTTAAGTATGCCCGTATAGGCCCCCAAGGCAATCATTTTTTAAGATTATTTTTTATCTGAGTGGATAATTATATACGTATTCCCCCCTCCTGACTTTACGAAAACCACTATTATTGTCTCCCACACATTTTAATTTTCGAGATTTACATGGCAAGAATAAGTTCTCCCGTAGGTTTCCCGGTTATCTGTCTCAGCAGCAAGGACCGCAACCGCAGAAACTGCTGGTGCCGCCACAGCAAGGTCCACATCCTCCGCAAGGACCACAGCAAGGGCCACATCCTCCGCAAGGACCACAACAGGGACCACATCCACCGCAGCAGGGGCCCTAATAAGCAAAAAAAAGGAGTATATAAATGGATTTACAAGACACCATGTCCATTATACTTACCCCAACCAAGACGTAATTCGGGTTCACGTACATGTACATGATTTTGTTTTTAGGGTACTTATTGACAACCGGGATATCCAAAGGAAACTAGAAGCCACCGAAAATTTTGGTGCTTACTTTCGAAGATGTAACGGAGAACTGAAGAAACCCAGCCATAGCAAATCACAACTACTTTTGACAATCTTCATTCGAAGTTTCTAGGCCAATGTGATCACATAAAAAATATATATTTCCTATAATCAAGGCATCCCAAAGTTCCGAATCTAGTGAGCTACGTAATTCTGTTTTAGATGTCAAACCCCAATCTCAAACTCAAATTCTGTGTTTATCCATTCTTGTTCTAACTTTCGGCCTGTAATCAACTAAATTTTTAGTCGTGTTAAGTTATTTTTTGTTCAGTTCCCAGTAAGTATCTTTAAGTAGATGAAACCAAGGCGTTTTTCTAAAGATTTTCCATTAGAACTTTACAATTCCATCATGTGTTGTGGACCTCTCGGATTCTGTGGACCTTGCAGCCCGTGTGGCGGACCTTGCGGACCCTGCGGACCTTGCGGTTCTTGCTGCGGAGGCTGTGGACCTTGTTGCGGACCTTGCGGCTCTTGCTGCGGAGGCTGTGGACCATGTGGGCCTTGCTGCGGTCCCTGTGGTCCTTGCTGCGGAGGATGTGGATGCTAAATAACAAATCCTATTCAACATCTTGTTCCTGTGAACGACTAAGAGTAACTTAAGACCAAACGCAGAGAACTATTAAAGCGTGGACAAAGACAAGATGTTATACATTTTTAAAATAATTTTTTGTGGGGAAGAAAGTTTTTTGTTTGTCGGGTGAAGACTTCCAACATTTCATAAACAGGATTTAGTATTAAAGCCACTTGCTTATACTATATATAATGCCCCCAACCGACGGCGCCATCTGCAATTTTATTGACTGAAATTATAATTTCAGTCAAAAGTTTGCAACGCAGTGAAGGAGACGTTTCCGACCCTATAAAGTATATATATTCTTGATCAGCATCGTCTATTTAGCCATGTCCGTTTGTCCGTCTGTCCGGTTGTCCGTCTGTCCGGTTGTCCGTCCGTCCGTCTGTCCCGTTGTCCGTCCGGTTGTCCGTCCGTTTCTACGCAAACTAGTCCCTCAGTTTTAAAGCTATCTGCTTTAACAACAATATCATATAGGTGCCATAAAAAACGATGGCAAAATGTAGCGCAAAATCGACTTAGCTATAATGTATATATCTTCTTGATCAGCATGTCCGTATGTCTGTCCGTATGTCTGTCCGTCTGTCCGTCCGTCCGTTTCTACGCAAACTAGTCCCTCAGTTTTAAAGCTATCTGCTTGAAACCAAAAGTTGTCTTTCTATTGCAGGTAGTATATATAGTCGAAACGAGCCGGATCGGGCGACTATATCATATAGCTCCCATAGGAACAATCGGAAAAAAAATCTAAAACAAGAAAGGAAAGCTAACTTCGGGCGGAGCCGAAGTTGAAATACCCTTGCAGAATATTCTGCAAATTATATTCTCCAAAATTATTCATATGATGCATTCTTTATACTCATAAAAAATCCCAACTTCCTAACTTTAAAAACACCAAAGTTATGGCATTTCCAATCGTTCAGTTATGTATATGGCAGCTATAGAATATAGTCGGCCGATCCTTATGAAATTTGATATGTCGGATTGATTGGGCAAAAAATAAAACCCATAGAAAATTCCAACTTCCTAACTTAACAAACACTTAAGTTATGGCATTTCCGATCAATCAGTTATATGGCAGCTATAAGATATAGTCGACCGATCCTTATGAAATTTGGTAGGTCGGATTGAGTGGCCAAATATAAAGCCCATAGAAAATCCCAACTTCCTAACTTAACAAACAGCAGAGTTATGGCATTTCCGATCAATCAGTTATATGGCAGCTATAGGATATAGTCGGCCGATCCCGGCCGTTCCGACTTATATACTGCGTGCAATGGAAAGAAGGGTGTGTGCAAAGTTTCAATTCGATATCTTTAAAACTGAGAGACTAGTTCGCGTTGAAACAGACAGACGGACAGACAGACGGACAGACAGACGGACAGACAGACGGACAGACAGACGGACGGACAGACAGACGGACAGACAGACGGACAGACGGACATGGCTATATCAACTCAGGAGGTGATCCTGATCAAGAATATATATACTTTATAGGGTCGGAGATGTCTCCTTCACTGCGTTGCACACTTTTGACCAAAATTATAATACCCTCTGCAAGGGTATAAAAATGTATCGGCGATAGATTCAAAATAATATTTAATAAATCTATTTCTCAAAAGTTGGCATTACCATTAAGGAAAAGTTCGAGGGGGTTGAATTTTATTGATTGATTTTATATTCTATGACATATACTATGACATATTCTATGACTAAGTACAAATTTTCTTATATGTACCAGTGCTCAATAACAATTCTAAATTAGGTTTAAAATTAAATCTGAAAAACACACCAAAGATCCTTATGAAATTTCGTATGTCTGATACATTGACCAAATAAAAAACCAATACAAAATCCCAATTTCCTAACTTTAAAAACACCAATGTTATGGCATTTCCAATCGTTCAGTTAAATGGCAGCTATAGAATATAGTCGTCCGATCCTTATGAAATTTGGTAGGTCAGATTGATTGACCAAATATAAAACCCATAAAAAATCCCAATATCCTAACTTTAAAAATAAAAAAAACACCAATGTTATGGCATTTCCGATCGTTCAGTTATATGGCAGCTATAGAATATAGTCGACCGATCCTTTTAAAATTTGGTAGGTCAGATTGATTGGCCAAATATAGAACCCATAAAAAATCCCAACTTCCTAACTTTAAAAACACCAAAGTTATGGCATTTCTGATCGTTCAGTTATATCGCAGCTATAGGATATAGTCGACCGATCCATATGAAATTGGGAACGTCGGATTGATTGGCCAAAAATACAACCCATAGAAAATCCCAACTTCCTAACTTTACAAACACCAAAGTTATGGCATTTCGGATTAATCAGTTATATGGCAGCTATAGGATATAGTCGGCCGATCCTTATGAAATTTGGTAGGTCGGATTGATTGGCCAAATTTAAAACCCATAGAAAGTCCCAACTTCCTAACTTTACAAACACGAAAGTTATGGCATTTCCGATCAATCAGTTATATGGCAGCTATAGGATATAGTCGGCCGATCCCGGCCGTTCCGACTTATATACTGCGTGCAAAGGAAAGAAGGGTGTGTGCAAAGTTTCAATTCGATAGCTTTAAAACTGAGCGACTAGTTTGCGTAGAAACAGACAGACGGACAGACAGACGGACAGACAGACGGACAGACAGACGGACAGACGGACAGACGGACATGGCTATATCAACTCAGGAGGTGATCCTGATCAAGAATATATATACTTTATATGGTCGGAGATGTCTCCTTCACTGCGTTGCACACTTTTGACCAAAATTATAATACCCTCTGCAAGGGTATAAAAATATATATATTTTTCAGGGACTGAAGAGAACCGGTACCGAAACCGGAACCGGAACCGTTTCCTTTTTACGGAACCGGAATCGGAACGAAACCGAAATTTTAATTTTCGATGGAACCGAAATTCGAACCGGAACCGCTAACAGATTTTTATAGGAACCGAAACCGGAATCGGAACCGGTATTCCAATCGGTTTCAGTCCCTGATATATACATATGTTGTCGCAATTACTTTTCTACACGATTATACATTAAAACAAGAAAGGAAAGCTAACTTCGGGCGGAGCCGAAGTTGATATACCCTTCCAGAATACTCTGTAAATTATATTCTCCAAAATTATTCAAATGATGCATTCTTAATACTCATAAAAAATCCCAACTTCCTAACTTTAAAAACACCAAAGTTATGACATTTCCAATCGTTCAGTTATATGGCAGCTATAGGATATAGTCGGCCGATCCTTATGAAATTTGGTAGGTCGGATTGGCTGGCCAAATATAACACCCATAGAAAATGCCAACTTCCTAACTTTACAAACACCAAAGTTATGGCATTTCCGATCAATCAGTTATATGGCAGCTATAGGATATAGTCGGCCGATCCTTATGAAATTCGGCATGTCGGATTGATTAGCCAAATATAAAACCCATAGAAAATCCCAACATTCTAACTTTACAAACACCAAAGTTATGGCATTTCCGATCAATCAGTTATATGGCAGCTATAGGATATAGTCGGCCGATCCTTATGAAATTCGGCATGTCGGATTGATTAGCCAAATACAAAACCCATAGAAAATCCCAACTTCCTAACTTTACAAACACCAAAGTTATGGCATTTCCGATCGTTCAGTTATATGGCAGCTATAGGATATAGTCGGCCGATCCCGGCCGTTCCGACTTATATACTGCGTGCAAAGGAAAGAAAGGTGTGTGCAAAGTTTCAATTCGATATCTTTAAAACTGAGAGACTAGTTCGCGTAGAAACAGACAGACGGACAGACAGACGGACAGACAGACGGACAGACAGACGGACAGACGGACAGACGGACAGACGGACAGACGGACATGGCTATATCAACTCAGGAGGTGATCCTGATCAAGAATATATATACTTTATAGGGTCGGAGATGTCTCCTTCACTGCGTTGCACACTTTTGACCAAAATTATAATACCCTCTGCAAGGGTATAAAAATGGAACCGATACTGGAACCGGAACCGATTTGTAATATTTTTAGGAACCGGAACCGAAACCGGAATCGTTTTGCGATTTTTCTTAGGAACCGAAATTGGAACCGGAACCTCTAACAGATTTTTATAGGAACCGAAACCGGAATCGGAACCGGTATTCCAATCGGTTTCAGTCCCTGATATTTATACCCTTGCAGAGGGTATTATAATTTTGGTCAAAAGTGTGCAACGCAGTGAAGGAGACATCTCCGACCCTATAAAGTATATATTTTCTTGATCAGGATCACCTCCTGAGTTGATATAGCCATGTCCGTCTGTCCGTCTGTCCGTCTGTCTGTCCGTCTGTCTGTTTCTACGCGAACTAGTCTCTCAGTTTTAAAGATATCGAATTGAAACTTTGCACACACCCTTCTTTCCTTTGCACGCAGTATATAAGTCGGAACGGCCGGGATCGGCCGACTATATCCTATAGCTGCCATATAACTGAACGATCGGAAATGCCATAACTTTGGTGTTTGTAAAGTTAGGAAGTTGGGATTTTCTATGGGTTTTGTATTTGGCTAATCAATCCGACATGCCGAATTTCATAAGGATCGGCCGACTATATCCTATAGCTGCCATATAACTGATTGATCGGAAATGCCATAACTTTGGTGTTTGTAAAGTTAGAATGTTGGGATTTTCTATGGGTTTTATATTTGGCTAATCAATCCGACATGCCGAATTTCATAAGGATCGGCCGACTATATCCTATAGCTGCCATATAACTGATTGATCGGAAATGCCATAACTTTGGTGTTTGTAAAGTTAGAATGTTGGGATTTTCTATGGGTTTTATATTTGGCTAATCAATCCGACATGCCGAATTTCATAAGGATCGGCCGACTATATCCTATAGCTGCCATATAACTGATTGATCGGAAATGCCATAACTCTGCTGTTTGTTAAGTTAGGAAGTTGGGACTCTCTATGGGTATTATATTTGGCCAATCAATCCGACGTACCAAATTTCATAAGGATCGGCCGACTATATCCTATAGCTGCTATATAACTGATTGATCGGAAATGCCATAA